AACTACTAACATTTTTAAATCCATAGGATAATATCTGGAACTTTTATAGAATTCTTAAATGAATAATCCTGCCAGCAATGCCAAAATGAAATGAAATAAAATAAATGAAAAAAAAAAAGGAATTCTTACATGAAGAAATTCATTTTTACTGGCATTAAGGACCACTGCTGACTAATTGCAAACTACTATTTTATTGAGGACATAACGGTGCCAAGCTGTTAGAACCAAAGTTCACTGTTTTTGGCTACATTATTGAGTGAATGTAGAAAGTAAATTTGACTTATGGTGTTTTCAAACACTAAACTGCTGAAATTTTAAGGAAGTTTAACTTTTAATATCACATATTTACAAAATGAAAATTATGTTTTTGCTTTGGGAAAATATGCAGAAAGCTACGTTATATTTTTTCTTAAATTCAAGGCAAAGCACAATTTTTTCTATTGGAAGCCACTGGAAAGCACTTTAATAGATTTGAAATATATAACGTAGTATGTGATTAGATGTGAGATGTTTTAGCACTACTTTAAAGTTTTACAAAAGTCTTTGGTAGTTGAGCTGGTTACCATTTCTAGAAGTCCCACTTGATTTACTAGCTTTTGGTAAACATTTTTGGTTTCAAATGTAAAAAATAGTAAAATGCTTAAAAATTTATAAGTTAGGTGTGGATGCAAAATACTACAAGCTCTATATTCTATTTTTTAATAATTGTGTTCTTTTTCTTTCCATTTTAGTTTTGAGATTGTCAGGCCTGCCTTTATATTTTCTAAGTGTTAAAGAGTGGAATTCTAATAGTCTTCAAATTGAAGGATATTCTAACTGCCAACAAAAAAAAATTCTCATTCTTCCAAGGCATTACTGTGTTATTTCTAATAGAGAAACCTTGCAAGATAACAAGACCTCAGAGATTGGAGTTTTGGCTGGTGAAAGTAACATTTTAATCTTCACATCATAATTCTGATTGGTTATTTAACTTAATAATGTATGGCCTTGATACTAATACTTAGAGTGAAAATTCCATTTTCTGAAAGGTTATGGGGGCATTAATTTAGTCTTTAATCCTGTAACATGATGAAAGTGAAGGATAAAGGAAGGTATCCCCATCAACTCCTCTGTGCATGTGATGCCAATTCTTCCCTGAGGATATTTTGTTTATGAGCCAAGACCTTCTGATTTACGAATGACTGTGTGGACTGGCATCAGTCCACATATTAAATAACAGTGAGGCTTAATTTATCTTTTGCAAATGAGAAACTAACAGAACTTCTAATATTTTTCTTCCTATAATCCCCTGGATCATCTTGCCTGCTGGTACAACCCATTTCTGAGACTGTAGGCATACTAGATAAAACATGTTCTTGGGTGTGTAGTGTTCCCACGGTTTCTCTACCACCCTCGGTGTGGTGGCATGCACCTGTAGTTCCAGCTACTCTGGAGGATGAGGAAGAAGGATGGCTTTAGCCCAGGAGTTCTGGGCCATAGTGCACTAAGCTGATTGGGTCTCTGCACTAAGTTCAGTGTCAATATAGTGACCTCCCAGGAGTGGGGAACCACCACGTTGTCTAAGCAGGGTGAACCAGCGCAGGTCAGAAATGCATCAGGTCAAAACTCCCCTACTGATCGCTAGTGGGATCATGCCTGTGAATAGACACTGTACTCCAGCCTGGGCAACATAGTCAGACCCCATCTCTTATTTGAAAACAAACCAACAAAAAAATGAAGAAATGGCTTTCTGTTAAGCCACATCACCATGGCAACATACTTTGAAAACTTTTACCTCAACAGCTCACTATAACATCTGTATACATGAAAGATAGTTCTATTTCTATGTTCAAATGGAAATGCAAGCACTGGTAAGTAAAATCACCCAACACTAGAAGAGTTTGAAATCAGATTCTATGGTAGCTGATATTTATTTTCATTTCAAGCTCTGACTGCAAAAACTAATTACTGAAAATTTTAAGTCTTGATTTTATTTTCCTGCTTAGCTTAAGCCCTTTTAGACACTGAATGCTAATTAAAAAAAACAAAGAAAAAAGCTTAAGCCCTTTTATGCTAGATCTTTGCTGCTACTGGGTCAATAATTTGGCCTGATTATGTACTAGGTCGTAAGCATTGTCAGAAATCAGGTCAGGCCTTTTGGTACTGACTGAAAAGGATAGTTCACCAGGGACTGTCCACAAAGCACCCTATTCAGTTTTGAGACAGTTGTTGACAACATCCCTTTAATCAAGGATATAAACTAGGGCTGGGCTACAGGCCCCACCTAGTGGCATTTTGAAGAAAAGCAGGTAAAGCTAAAAATACGCACACAGGCAAAAAAAGTCTCCGTGTCACAACTTCCTTGTGAAGATGAGTTACTAGTTATTTCCCTGAAACCCGAATCTGGAGACAGGAGGGTTAGTATGTATGAAATCACTGAAACATTGAAAGCGAAGTCCCTAAGTCAATGATTCTCAATCACTGAAGAATTTATTTAAAACAAAGAGAACCACTTGGTAAGTTTATTTAAAATGCAGATTTTTAGGCCCTGTCCTAAAGCATCTTAGTAGGTATGGGATAGTACTGACTTTAACAGAGACTCCACTTGGAGATAGACTTTTCAAAGTGCATTAGGCATGTTGTAGCTAAGCCATTCTCCACCCCTTCTGCCCCCCATTCGGAATGCAGTCTGCTTATAAAGACTATATATGGGAGGTAGCAGCAAACAATTTGGAGATTAAATGAGATTTCATTCATAGCTACTGATAGGGGACCCAAGATTCAGAAGGGATATAGAGATCCTAGATTCCTAACTTCAACGAAGTTGGAGTTAGCCAAGACAGAAGGCCTTTTTTTTTTTTTTTTTTAAAACAGACGTGGTCTGGCTGTGTTGCCCAGGCTGGGGTGCAGTGGCTATTCACTGGCCGAATCATAGCCCACTGTGGCCTTGAACTCCTGGGCTCAAGTGATCCTCCTCCTGCTGGGACTGCAGGTGCACAGCATCATGCCCAGCTAGAAGGCTGACTCGTATAAAACCTTTTTAGTTCGAAATAATGACTTCTATTAATATTTTTAAAGAATATTCTTTGGTAAGCTATTCTAATACAGTTTTTAAGATATTTATTCCCTCTTCTAAGATAAAGAGTTTATTCTAAGTATTCTTAAAGTATCTTCTAACTTCCTCCTCTCTTATTACCAATACTAAATGTGAGGGTACTTCTATTTTAATTCACTGAGATAATAAATATGATTCTATAATTCATTATAGAATGAACTTTAATGGCTTTGTCCTTGATCTTACATTAATAGGAGACGAGGGCAATATAAGGAAGTTTACACTTATTTCGAACCTGGTGTCAAGTACTGGGTAGGCTTTTTACATACAGTAAAATTAATGTACTGATACAACTACCTTATGAAGTTAAGTATTCTCTCTACAAAAGAGTAAATGAGGCTCAAAGAGACTCACTGATCTACCCAGGCTCACATAGCTAGTATGTGTTATAATAAGAAATATATATGGTCTTTGTCACAGGTTCCTCACTTGGAGCTCCTAATCTAAAATCTTGGGAATTTCCTGAGTGATACGAGTATCTTATTATTCTTAACAAGCCCCTTTCTACGATCACACCAGAGTTTATACGAATGAGGTTACTCAGGATGGGGCTGCTCACCAGAAAGACCAGGGGATTAGAGGGTTGGAACTTTCAGCCCCACTGTTGGGGCCCAGATTGCAGAACGGGGGATGGACACAGAAACACACAGACACACACACAAGACGTACAAGACTGAAGTAGTCAAGTCTACCAGTCGCTTTATTCTTATACTTTTCTCTGTCCAGCAGCTACTTCCTGGCACATGACTACCTCAGGCGCCCTGAGGAAAATACATTTTCATTCCTTCCAGACGATTGCTTAAGGGAAGCAGACGTTTGCATCTTAACTTCTTGCATCTTAACTTCTTTATCTCATTACCGTATGCAGGACAATGAGATACCTTGGCTTGTTTGCAAGACCCCAGGCACTTGGTTATGCCATAAAGCTATCTGTCATGAGGAATAGTTCTGTTTGGCCAACAGGCCGGGGCCCGGGCCTATTGACCTCTGGTGCCAAGGAGAGCACACCCAGTTTCGCTGACTCTGGGCTTAAGCCAATTTTTGCCCAGGGACGGTCCCTACATCCACCTACTGACCTCTGAAAAGGAGGAAGGGGTCTAGAGATCAAGCTCTATAAAAAACTCTTGAATTCTTGAGATCTGATGACTTCCCAGGTTACTGAACCTGGTGGCACATCCAGAGGGCCTGGAAGCTCTGTGCCCTCTCATACCTTGCCTTATGCATCTCTTCCATCTGGCTGTTCCTGAGTTGTATCCTTTATAATATGCTGGTAAATACATGTGTTTACCAAATTTCTGTAAGGCATTCTAGCAAATTTTTAAACCTGAGGAGGGATCATGGGAACCCCTGATTTATAGCTGGTTGGTCAAAAGCACTGGAGGCCCAGACTTGCAACTGGCATCTGATGTGGGGTCAGTGCCCTGAGACTGAGTCTTTCACTTGTGAGAGCTGATGCTAACTCCAAGTAGGTAAGTGTCAGAATTGAACTGAATTAAACTGAACCCAACTGGTGTCAGAGAATTGGTTGGTGTGGGGAAAAAACCCACACATTTTGGTTACGTGAAGTGTTCTGTGCTCAGTATGAGAGTAGGAAAACCAGTTTGGTTTTTCCTATTATATACACAGTGAGTTAAAGAGAGGATTTTGACCTAGGTTTGAATTCAAAGCGAATGTTCTTTCTTTATGTGTTGTTTCCTGCTAAAATCTACAAATAACCTTAAAACAGTCAATCATATTAACCATTTCTTAAACTAAAATATCTTTGGCCAGAACTACTGAAAATGAGGAAAAGTAAAGTATTAAGTATTTTATGGCCCCTTCTTGTCCTTGTTCAGATATGTGTGTTCAAAACGTATGCAACAGGGTAATGGAGAAAATAAAGGAACTGAATAATCTGCCATTGACCACATGACAACACTGCTTGTGGACACTTTATTCACTTTAAAATAAATATTGTGCTGTAAACTGTCTAGAACTAAAATCCATATATACAGTAGGCAAGTACAATGGATAGCCAGCACAGTGTGTTTGTTAGAGTAAATCATTCTAAGTCAGAGAAGAATCACCAACTGTCTACAACAGATACATACTCTGGCAGTAAGCACACACATAAGAAGGAGAAAGAAATAAATAAAACTTCTGAGAGAAAGGCAACCTATTACAAATAAGAATTTCTTGAGATTAACAGGGGTGAAGAAAACTCACATGTTAAGGCTCTACTATGTGCCCAGTTTGTAGTTTAATGCCTGGCAGAGAGCAGTTATTATGTAAAAATTGGTTGAAAGGATTTCAGGCACTAGAATTTACATATTTTACATGGTTTCTCATTTAAACAATCTCCTATCAATTCTTTTCTTCATTAGCTAGTTATATATACCATAATTTACATAATAAATCTATTATTTAAAAACTTTCAATAGGTACAATTATGATATTTGATTAGGCTGGACTCTGACGTGCTTGGATGAGATTTATTTTGGAATCACATATCCAAGCAAAGAAAAAACACAATCTGTTCATAAAACAAAAATGAAAAAAATGAGACAAAATGTCTGCCTTAGAAGTTTATCAATAACCTCTTATATACACACATATATTCACAAAGTGGTTAAGAGTCCTTTTATATGATTGCTTTGGATGAGGTCAAATGGCTGAGAACTCTATAGTGAGACAGACACATGGTCAGACAGAAATCATCATGACTTTCAATCTTTTCTTTCCTCCAACTTTAACATCCTTTAGTTGGGGAGAGAAAGAAGTCCATTTTCATCTGCTGTATCTAAGATTTTACAGATCACTGGAGATTCAACCTAAAGAATGAGAAAAACAACAAAGCCATTAAAAAGTTGCTAAACTGAATA